GGGCAAAGCATCACCCAGTGGGAGCACTGACAAGGACCAGGACATGGACAAACCTGTGGACATGCAGGAGGGCGACAACATCAATGGGGGCACCACCGATCCTATGGAGAGATCTTCCATCAACCAGCTTCCCATGGCCAAGAACATCAAGAAGAGCATCGAAGACAAGGAGCGCAAGGACAAGATCGAGGCCCACAAGACCAAGAAGACCAACAAGACCATCGACGACAACGAGCGCAAGGACAAGATCAAGGCCCACAAGACCAACAAGACCATCGACGACAAGCAGCGCAAGGACAAGATCGAGGCCCACAAGTCCGAGAAGACCATCGACGACAAGCAGCGCAAGGACAAGATCGAGGCCCACAAGTCCGAGAAGACCATCGACGACAAGCAGCGCAAGGACAAGATCAAGGCCCACAAGACCGAGAAGACCATCGACGACAAGCAGCGCAAGGACAAGATCGAGGCCCACAAGACCGAGAAGACCATGGACGGCGAGGAGCACAAGAACAAGATCGAGGCCCACAAGACCGAGAAGACCGACGACACCATGGATTGCAACCTGCCTGACACGCTGTCGCCCGGAAGCCCTTGGGAGAGGGATACCGCTGAGGACAAGAAACGGTGGAAAGAAATTTCCAAGGAACTTCAAGGCAAACCTTTGGGTCCAACTCCACGCCTTTGGGACAACGACATTGGGGACAAGGAGAAGCCTGAAATGCCTGACTCACAGGAGACCCTGCGCCTGGATGATTTCGCAGAAGAAGGAACCACCAACACACAGGAGCCCATACCACCAAAAGCTCCTGCAGTGAAGGGCAGAGCCAAATCCAAGGCCTGTGCAAAGGCTAAGGCCAAACGCAATGCCTCTGCCAAGGCCAAACTCCTGAGAAGGAAACAGACTCCAGAGGAAAAGAAACGGGTCCACAGGATTGCCAGTGACAGATGGCATGAGAAATGGCTTAGCAAGGGGGTGCCAAGATCAGAGGCATCAAACGGCAGCAGCAAGACTGAGGGCAAAGTCAAGAAATCCGAGAAGCAGGTGGACAAGACGAAGAATGACGCGGCGAGCAAGGCCAGCAAGGCTGAGATCAAGGACCAAGAAGTGCAGGACACCGAGATGAGCAAGGGCACCAAGCGCAGAAAGGACAGCAGTACCTCAGCTCCTCCTCAGCCAGCAGCCAAGAAGACGAAGAACAGCGAGACCGGCGAGTCCACCATCCCAAAGGAGACACTGTCATTCCGACACACCTATATATATTTGATATTATATGATGGGAAATGTTATACATTCTGTGATCCTATGTCATCTTCCCGGATGATTCAAAACCAACTGAGTGGATGTTGTATGATGAGTGGATACATTTCCCCCATTTAAATCTATTTGGTGAGGCTGTTTCCTGAGTGATACCTTTACCAAACATGTTGCTTCACGAGCGCTGTACTATATGAACATCTTTCCCATTCAAATCTAACTTGTGATAATTTCTTGTGGGTTAGGTAATGACTGCCATTTAACTATTTGGATATTTTTGTCCATTCAAATCTAATTTGTGCTGCCATGTCATGATTACTAAATGGATATCTGTCCCATGGGTGATGCTAGGTCATGATTATCGTTTGGATATCTTTACAACACCCAATCAAGTGATAACAAATAATGTTACGGGATCTGTGCCACTGCAATCTTTACCAATCAGGAGATCATGGATGCCTTTGGCAAGGACCGAATGCCTGCCCTTCCTACCAATGATCTTCGCAAGACCAAGGCTGCCTATGTTCAGGAGGCTTTGAAAACCATGAATGAGGCCACTGATGGCAGTGAGTTGCTTAGCTCTGGTGATAAGTACAAGAAAGCCTTGGAGATGTGGATGGAATCTGCCACAAGGGCAGCCCTTATGTCCGGGAAATCTCCCAAGTTTGCTTTGGTTACTGGCTAGATATGGCTAGATGACAACTGTTAAGACCACTCTAGCGGTTCGAGGGCTTAGGGGAAACAAGCCCAAACAGCGCGGTGGATCGGATGAAAATAACCAGTGCCTCTCAATCTGGGTTTGATCTTCTTTATAATGATGAATGATGGATGATTATGCTGATGCTGAGGATGATGATGATGATGATGGATGATCATGACCCACGAAGCCGCCCTGCCGGTCCTCTTTCTCCAGGAGCTTCTGGTGGTGGTGGCGGCGGCTGCCGCCAGCAGCGAGCTGGGGGTTGATAAGGGTTTAGGGGTGATAGGGGGATTTGTTTTTTGGGGTCTAACTACCTTGAAATTAGACCCAAATACCTTGAATGAAACATATATATATATATATTTGTATGAAGCCTCCAAAATTGGAGCATTGGGGAAACCCTTTTGACATTCTGGGTGATGAAAGACATGGATAATGGTTGGATGAACCAGCAGATGGTACGGTTTTCTGCTATGAGGAGGGAGTCGTTCATCTATTGACCCATTCCACATGTTGATTTTGCCATCTTTTTTTGGGTGTAGGTTTACGATTGCCCGAAAGGACATGCTGTTTCCTCGCATGGAATTATCCGAAAAGATCTTGACCCTTGCCGATTTCAAGGAAATTTTTAAGGAAATGTCTCATGCTCTCAATTCTAAACATCAGTTTTAGGCGCTAAAAACTCTATGCTTTGCCAGCATCGGTGATGACCAGGATGGATCCATCACATAGGGACCATCATTGGCTACTCTTCCGCCAAGGCGGAGAGCCATTCCATCAGATTGGATGACCAGTGCTGGGCGCACTCAGCAGATCTTTTTTTATCCCAGCTGTTGTGAATTCTGGGTCCCCTGGCTTCCTGGACTATCTGGAAAAAACCCTGGTGACTTCAAGATGAATATGGCATAATTTGGTATAATTTGGCAGTATTGATGTGAATTGATGATGGTAAATCAAGAACCCTGCTGATTGGTGAATTGATGTGAATTTAAGGCATAAAAATTGGCAGTTTTTTTTGATTCTGTCTTCCACCAGTGTCAAGGTATCTTTTTCTCAGCGGCTGTGGTGTTTTTTTATTGGGGGGGATGAAGTTTCCCTGGGTGCTTCGACAGGGGTTTTGACATCTAACTGTAACAGGGCCGTCTGCGAGCGACACTGTGCTGCACGATGAAAATCTGCGTAGATGGGTTGACCACCCCGAAGTGGGCTGTCGACATGGCAAGACATTCTCAACGGAATTTCCATCATTTTTCCATCTAGGTCCAGATGTTGGTTCTATCAAGTGGTATCCTCATCCAGTCTACAGCATGATTTCCTGTGACGGGCCACATCTCATGTCATCTCCGCCAACTCGTTTCGCCTTCATGAGGGTCCGGTCAATATTGTCCCATTTTTGCTGGCATGTTGAACACATGTAATACATAATATGATCTACATTATATAATCAATATTAATGTAATACAGCGAATATATATGAATATATATATATATGAATATATGTATCATAGATAATAGGTACATTATATGTAAAGTTATATAGATATGTGTTGATATCCCCATGAATTCCCTATGAATGTTGTCCCCCAAAAACCCAAACCTGAACCCTTCGGACCTCTTTTAGGCGCTAAGAAGCTCTCTCGGCTGCCTTGGTTTCGAGCCAAAGATCTCATAGACGAGGTGTTGCTGGGAGGTGCGTGGCTGTGTCGATGTCGAAATTCACGGAGCCGGACCTCAGAACTTGTAGATTTACGGTATAGATCATGGGCATATAGTGGGGAAATGTAGGGAATATCGCCAACCTTTGTTTGGGATTGTTTGGGCGTAGTGATCATGGGGATGCAACGGTAAGCATCAAGAAGACGTTTTGATCGAAGTGCCAGGGGTGAGCCTTCGTTGAGTAACCGGCGCCATTGAACATGGACCATCGTTGCGCTGTGAAAAAAATTACTCCATCTCTGAACTATACATACTATATATACTATATATATACTATGTATATATATATATATTTATATACTATATATACTATATATATATACTATGTATATATATATACTATATATACTATATAAATTGAACCCAATATCGGTATATATATGTACATATATTGAGTTTGGATATTCAAAAACTCCCAACTTCTGACCATTTTGAGAGGGAAAATGATGATGAACCATCAAATCTGGGGGTTGGTGGGCATATAAAATGGGGATACTATGCCAGAACATGGGACATCGTGGATCCTTGGGGGTTGCTAAATGGGAGATCTAACCCCAAAAAAATATGGATATAATGGGAATAGCATGTTATAGCCAAAATCTGTTTTTTTTTTTGTGTGTTTTTTTAAGGGGAATATCCCAAGAGTGATAAACCACTACTCATTGGGGATTTTGAGACAAAGCCACATCACGAGAGATAATCAATCCCCGGTTGGGCGGTTGCTATCTAAAAATTCCTGGGCTGTGCGTGCCCTCTGGCTATAGCACCATGGCTATTGTGAAGAGAAGAAGTTTGAAATCATGTGCTGCATGATGCAAAAATGTGAGCTGGTGCCCATGAACTTGAACCAACAAAAAAATGCCAAGCTTTTCGTAGTAGACATGATGAATTTTATTTTGGAAGATTTTAAAGACCCATCAAGTCCAGGCTGCATTGTTTGCAAGAAATTTACAGTAGATCGACAAGTTAGTGACATTACTATATTATTGCATGAAAATTGGTTTTAGCTAAATTTTGGGGTGCATTGAAAATATCCTGAAGCTTGCCCACACAGAAATTTAGCTCCCAAAAATCTGGAGAGTACTCCCGCTTTGTGCAGTACAACCGGGATAGTCAGATAGCCTCCACAAGGATTTTTTCGAGCACTTTGTGCTTAGATTCCCATCATTTCTTGATGTCGCATCACATCCCAATCTGTTTGTTGGTTTGTCTGAAAACAGGGAATCCCTAAAAATCCTTTGGTTCATCACTGTTTCCCCTATAAATATGGCGCCATTGTTGGTGTATACTACCCACTGAATCAGACAAAGTCATCATTGCCTCCAGGGCGTGACAGGCAGGGGGTGAGAAACCCCTCCCGCTATTTGAATAATCGCGTGGAGAAACTCACGGTGCCCTTGGGTTCCGACCTGAGCCACTGAGCGCGGGCCAAATGAAGCCATCAATGGGAGGGAAAAATGGGGTAGAATCCATATGGAGGTGTCTGAAAGTGGGGTGTATATCCTCAAAATGGCAATTGAATAGGGACAATTTATTGTAGACCATGTGATGTTGGGGTACCCTAGTCTCAGACAAACCCATGTATAGCAACCACACTTGAATAGTTAGTACATATAACTTATAGCTGGATTAGTTATTATGGATGTGGGTAAAAATCTAGTTATATTATAGGTCTTTCATAGGAGTTTGAATGGATAATATTATAGTTCTATAGACATATATAGACATGTGTACATAGATGGATAGATAGATAGATAGATAGATATAGATAATTATTTATATTACACATATTAGTATCCATGCTCGAAAGCAATGAAATCGATCATGGAAAGCTTGTCCCGGTAGGGGCAGTGCGGGTGTAGGTACGGTGCGGTAGGAAAGATGGGTATGGTAGGTACATGGGTAGCTTTCCCGGACTCGAACACATGCTGTGACCTTTCGCGCTTATACCCGCAGAGATGGGCTCCCTATCTTCCACGCCCGGTTGGGCCGCGTGTTTGTTACCGGTGCTGTTAGCGAACCCATAGGAAAACGCAAATATCATCCCAATGGACATAACTTGTGTTTCGGGGTGGGGTTTTGGGTGTTTTGGGTGGTTTGGGGGTGCGATAACGTCATTAGCATTTGCATGCATACATGATGCCACTCTATGTGAATGTGAAGTTCAGTAGCACTTGCACACATACATGATGCCAGGCTACTTGCGGTTGACTTGGGGGAGGGGGCTGGGGTGAGTGGGGGGGCATGCAAAAACATTCTAATGAAGTTGACTTGCAGTAAGATACATGATGCCACTGTCATGGTTTGCTGAAGAACTTGGCCAAAGAGACTACCAAACGCGGCTGATTTTGGACGTTCAGCCGTGATTTTTCGTGGCCGGCGCAATGGATTCTGTACCTGGCAAAAAGTGAGCAAAGCATGAGGTCATCGTGGTAGTTTCAAAAGCACGGCAGGCGTGGGACATTTGAAAAGTTTTGCAAAGCTAGATTTCGCATTGCAAGTTGCAAAAAAGAGACATTAGGAGACCTGAGAGGGGCTGCATTGAGAGCATCAGATTTTCAGGTGGCAGAAAGACAAATAAATAGATAGAGAGCTAGATAGATACTATTAGAGTGAGAGACAGAGAGAGAGAGAGAGAGAAAGAGAGAGAGAGAGACATGGATGGATGGATGGATGGATGGATGGATGGATGGATGGATGGATGGATGGATTGATGAATGGATAGGAAGAAAGAAAGATAGGCCGGCCGAGAGGAAGAGAGAGCTATATAGTGCTAGATAGACAGATGGATAGATGGACAGACAGATAGATATACAGACAGATAGATGAATGGATAAGGAGAGGCAGATAGAGACAGATAGAGTCAGAGATGGAGATAGTGATAGAGAGAGATATAGAGAGAGGTCGATAGAGAGAGATCAAGATAGATAGTCAGATAGATATACAAACAGATAGAAAGGCAGACAGATACATAAAGACAAAGAGAGAGAGAGAGATATATATATATACATATTTAGATGGATGGATGGATGGATGGATGGATGGATGGATGGATTGATGGATAGAAAGACAGACAGACAGACAGACAGGCAGGCAGGCAGGCAGGCAGGCAGGCAGACAGACAGACAGACAGACAGGTACAGTAGATAGAGACAGGGAGAGAGATAGGGACGCACAAAGACAAAAAGAAATAGAGAGAGAGAGAGAGAGACTCAGAGCCTCAACCTCCTTTTGGTCCATCAGTGAGTTCGCTCCGCCATCCATGCATCACAAGAAGTCAGCTCTCCTAAAGGTTTCCTATCTTTGAAACTCAGCCATCGCCTTGTGGTATACTGGGTATTTTTCAGGGGTGAGAATTCCATTTTTATCGATACAAATCCAGATTCAGGCCAGCCTATTCCACTTCAATGAGTTGGGTATGGGTCAATACCTATAGATACATTTTTAGTGGGATGAACATCCATTTACAGCTATTTTGGGGTTCACTAGGTGCCAGGGTTTTGACCCATCCCCAGTTAAGTATATCAGTTCTAGTGGTGCACCCCATTCAGAAACGTCACGCTGGCCCGGGGTCCGAGGCGTTGAACAGGCGCGGAGAAGTGCTACCTGGGTTGGAACTGGATTTGTGCCATACAATGGCGGTAGTTGTAGGACTAAGGAGGGGATCTCCCTCAGAAATCCGGGTGTGTTGCAATCCACAACTGAGAGCAGTTGATTGGCCTTGAAGGGTCCATGAAACTCAGAAGATTGGCTGAATCTAGAGTTTCAGCAAACTGACCACTTCAGAAAACAGCACCCAAGGTTACAAAATAGTCAAATAAATTTCAGATTTGTGATTGCCAAAAGATTGTGGTACTCCAAAGCCAATGGTTTCTCCATCAAAGATGACCGGTTTTGGATGGTTGGGCCCCCTTTCTTCAGAACCGAGGATGTTTGCTCCGCAAAAACTGGGTGTCCTTTGGTATTTGTTTGATGCAGGGGATGAACTGAAGACATTCATATTGTATCATATGGTTAGGAGGATCCAAGCGGGAAGTGAACGTCCTAACGCAAATACGTTCTAAAAAATGTTCACCGAATAGTGTGGTAAACTGCGAAACCATCCCGTTAACAGCCATTAACCAATGATGAATCTGGGTCACCCGATGCCGAAAAACGCGCAACGCCTAGGGAATTGCCATGGAGTTAGCCGTTTCCTTAGGAGTGGTCCGGGTGCTTGGGGGGCATCCTGGTGGCGCCATCCAGATTTGCCATGACTGATCTCTGGCTGACTTTAATATAGTCCATAGTGCATTCTCACTGGTTAAAATAGTCCACAATGTTCCCAGGTTTTGTTGGTTATATATGGTTATATATGGTTATATCAGTGATATCCCTATCTTCATCATCATATCATATCCCAATAGATGTGTTTTTACTGGTCAGTTCACCATTTTTTTCCACTGCCAGGTGAGTTTCATGTCCCGGATGTCTCCTAGGTGCTGAACAACGATGCCTTAGATGAGCTTGCGTCCATTCCGAGAAAGGCTGGGCCACTGGGCAACGTTCTGCCCTGGGCATCCACAGATCATGGCCATTGCGAGGATGGGTAGATCCCTGGTCTTCAAAAAGGAGTGGTGATTAAAAACACCCATGAGGATACCAAATGTATCGAAGTTGTTGATTTATGAAGCGATGTCAACTAACGTATGGAAAACAAATGCAACTCATATAACCAATATATATATATACTGGTTGGTGGTTTGGAACGTTTTTATTTTTCCATATATTGGGAATGTCATCATCCCAACTGACTATATCATATTTTTCAGAGGAGTAGGTCGACCACCAACCAGTTATCTATATAGGTATTATAGGTATTATAACCACTATTATGATATAATCCCATTATTGATGATTATCCCATTACAATCCCATTATAGATATATTATTAACCATCATTAACCATATAATATGGATTTATAATAACAAATATAGGTCGACCCATATTTCAGTGGGATGAGCATCCATTTCATTGCCATTCAGAAAACGTTGGACGTGACCAGGAGTCGCACGCCATCATCCGGGAACTGGCCAAGGGCAGCCATGGTAGCTTGGACTCAGGGGCCCGATGTGGCTGCCATTTAAAACTGAGCTAAAAGTATCTAAAAGTTCCATTGTTACGAGTGATATGTTAAACAAAAGATATGATATGTGTTATATATATAATTATATATATACATATATGATTATATATTCTGTATATACGTATGTATGTACGACGATATAGGTAATAATCACCCTACTCTGGCCCATTGCTCACTCGGATGCACATCCACGTTTTGTCACCAAAACAATCTGCGATATCCGGTGATGGAAAAGCCAGTCAGGCAGTCATTTGATCTGTGAGTCGCTTGTTGTTTTCCTATCAAACTGTGATGGAGCTTTGCATTTACAGCAACCCCCAAAAGATGAAAACAAAGGAAGCCCTGTAAATTATGGTGGAAACTTCATCTGTAGCATCCTGGAAACAGTATTTCTATCTTTTTGGGGACCTATATTTGTTTGTCTACTAGTCTACTTTTTTAGCATGGCTAAAATGAGTACTTTGGTTTGTTGCATGGCTCAAAACTGTGACTTTTGAAGTCCCACTATGAGTCACCCAAACATGTCGATAGGCACCTGTAGGCAAGTTAGTGTGGATTTACCCAATATTTTGGTCAGTATGTATGGCGACAAGATAAGGAGCTGTGAATGGCTGTCATGAATGTATCATATCACTGCAATTCTGGTCCCGGTCAGGTGCTTTGCATTGAGAAGTTTGACTTTGTCGATTAGTCATGTTTTCCAAACCAAGTGTGACAATACATGTTGAACAGAAACTGCACAACACAAACAACTACAAATTGGTTTGCAAACTAAACAGGGGTTCGGCTTTGTTTCACAAGCCAAACCAACATATCAATGTAAATTGACTCGCTTTATCTTGCATTGTTTTTTGAAACTATTTGTTCAAGTTCATGTCCTTTAATTTGTCCACCTCGCCAGACTGCTTCATTCAACAAGGCGTTCATGATCGACAAACCTCTGGTCTTAGTTTCGCAAGGGTTCATCAGGTGCCCACTTTTTCCCATACATGTGGGTCAGTTATCTGGTTGGTGGTTTGGAACATTTTTATTTTTTCCATATATTGGGAATGTCATCATCCCAACTGACTATATCATATTTTTCAGAGGGGTAGGTCAACCACCAACCAGTTTTGTTTTTTCCAAAACACGGATGATCTGGTTTTCAGAAAAACCCGTAGCATTCCGCCCCTTGTGGGTTCTGTACGTTTAACGTACAGCCGAAGACTGCTGATCAGGATCTGATCCCATGAGCTACGTCATGGAAGAAGTGTACAAATGTTCTGCCACCCAGGGGTTAAATATGTTTAAATGAGTATGGGTAGATTCTGGGTAGATGGTTAAAAATGGTGAGTTGGTGGATTCCAATTAGTTTCATGGAACCTTCCAATTAGTTTCTGGAACCATCCTGTCATGTGGGATGATGCTCCCCAATCGACGGAGAATGACAATGTTTTGTTTCTCGGATGTGTTTTTCAACCACTAAAAAGAGGCTGGTCTGAGTTTTCACATACCCTCTGGTAAACGTTTACATAACTATGGAAACTCATGGAAAGTCACCATTCTTAATGGGTAGTCATCAACTATTTCTATGGCAATTTTTAATAGCTACGTTAGTCATTACCAGGCCGGGTATCTTTATATCCAGTCAATGTCCTACCGGGGATGATCTTCATTGGTCCTCCATGGTGACCTTGCCCAAAAGGATTGCTGAAAAAGCCTCAAAAAAGGACGGTTTGCTGAATAGAAAATTGCCATTTTATCATGAAACGGATGTTTGTGTATCATCAACTTGATGGCCTGGAACAAGTTGATGTGAATGGGATTTCTTTGCAAATTCACTTGTTGAATGTTGCAGTTCAAATTGTTTGATTTTTGAATTATCCACCATAAGAATCCATATGAATTCATAGGAGCTGCAAAGTCAGATGGAATTTGCTCCAGCTCAGGTCGAGAGTATTTTAAATCTTTGACGAATGATGAGAATGATGATTTTGAAGTGCAAGATTAACATTGATTCAAAAGATAAGATACATTACTTAAGATACATATATGAGGGTCGTTCAAAAAACCCGTCGTGTCCAATATGTGGAAGTTCAGGACGGCTTAATGAACCCTAAGGACAAGTATGTGACAAAAAGAAGGTCGTACAACGAGCTCAACACGAAAGGGTATCTTCCCTTCGTTGGTACAGTTTGTTTTATTCTTTCGCCCTTGACTCTGGAAACAGACAGGCATTTGTGTACATATGACCTTTACCCGTGACATTCACATGATGCACGATTTTTGCTGCTTCGTCAAAAATATAGTTGTTCAGGTAAACAGCGATTATTATTGTCTTCAGACCAAATTGGATTTGATGGAATTTGGGAGACCTGCAAGTATCAAAGGAAGCGTACCGGAGTCAAGCACATTTAACTCAGCCTATATCCATTGATTGCTCACAAGCAGTTGCTGATAGACTCACGTTGCTAAAAGATGCTACAAGTACATGCGAATAGCGAAAGTGATTTGTTGGCGCTTGACAGTATTCACTTCTGAAATGTATTAATTCGCTAGCTACTGGCAAAAAAAAGACACACTTCATGTTGTTGGCGTTCTCAACAAATCAGGCACCAAAAGACAAACCTTAGTAGTCTCACGATCGATCGGAAAAGTACTGGGCACCACACTGACACTGCGCTGAAACTGGACAAAACAGGGCTCAAGCTATGCAAATCCGCGCTCGAACTACGCAATTTATTTGGACAAATTTAGCATTAAACAAATTAACCATGAGGGTGTTGACATAACAAAGACGGTCGTCATGAGATACATATCCCAGGAACCAGGAATTGAATGATAAACACAAATATAGTATAATATAATTATTGTTCTTATCCGCTGCCAGCTGTAAATTTGTAGGTCTATTAATTTTAGTACTGTATATATTAATAATATATCCAAATTTTGTTTCCTTCCAAGAATAAAATAATGGGAATATCGAATTTTATAATTTTATTATAAAAAATTATATTATTATTTTTATTTTAAATAAATTTATAA